ATAGGTTGAGGACGTATGTGAAAGTACGAACACTTTTGCTTTTTCATACGATTTGTAAGACGCTAGTACTGATTCAAAGTACTCCTCATCATTTATTTTTGTCCACCACTATACTATATATAGTTCAAAAAATTTAATGGGCTTGATCCCGGACCCCTGGGGACAAAGAAAGCGGGAGAGACTCGCGTAGTGAGAGAGACTAAGAAAGAGCTAGTTCGGGAGTGCAAAAGGCGGACCACCGGTCAATAGCAAGAGGTAAGGGCACCGGTAACAGAGGACTGAGGCGAGCGTAGTGAGGAGGTTTGCCGAGAAAGAAGGTGCACAGGAAGGTGTCAGGTTGGTGTGGCGTAGTGGAAGCAGAGCAAGAAGGGTGTCAGCTAGGCAATGGTCGTTCGTGATACTGTTCCCTTTGTTTGATCCGCAGTTCCAGCTACAGAGCCAGAGAGAAAGATGTGGGCGTTCATTCAGGCTTCGCTAAGTAAGCAGCTGTCAGACACCGCCTTTAGATATAAATAAAGAGGGCTAATGAGTATAAAGTGAGTGACAAGACCAGACTCAAAAGTGCTAAGTTGTTCATATGCGACCTCCTATCTTTTAGCGCAAGTCTCCGTTGACCAGCGAGACGACGACGATCGTTTTGAGGCCGCAAAGCTCGTTCCCTATTATTGTCATTTCAAAGCGCCTCGGAGCTAGTCATTTCTCATCAGCCGAGGAAGGAAGCATCCGCTTCAAATAGAGTAGTATATCGATCGAAGTCACAGTAAGATGGAAAGAAAGCTACGTGATGAGGCCGATCGCCCCTTAGAAGTGAAGTCCTATTTCAGACTCTTTGAACGGGGAGGAAGTGAAAAGAAATTTTAGAAGTTCCAATTTCGATTAGAAAAGGTTGCTTTGCTTACTCTTCTATTGTTCTGTGGTCTACTCAACGGTTGCCCTAGTCTAGCTAGATTGATGCTCAGGTGATAATACAAAGATAAATAAGAGAAGTGAAGGAGAGGAGATTGGGGCGAGAAGCATATTCTATTTGGTCAAGAAGTACGAATACAAAGGCAGCTTCAGGTCAAGAGAAACTTTAACTTTTAGAGTTATTGGTCTCGAGTTCAGTTCGATAGTCTTGAGAATCTCCAATCGAGTTCCTCTTTTTTATGTTTATGGTCTTTCTCGAGGCGCTGCCTACCTACAAGGCAAGATCAATTGAACCTTCACCTTAAACTGCGTCCAGTCCAAACACAGTCTTGCTCCTATAGCTCTCCTCTCTGGTTGCGCGTTCAACAACTACAACCTTAACACTGCGCTCCGAGGCCGCTTTTGACGCCTCCGGACAACCCTCGCTGCTTCGCCATAGAGTTAGGTAGGCCTCCACAAGCTGCTAAAAGAAAATTCCATCAAAGGTGAAACCCTTACTTTGGGGGCCTTGCCTCATGATTTTCTTGGCAAGCATTTGGCTGTTGACGTGTCCTCCGCACGCACTTGAATGAGCTTGTTCAACAATGTGCGCTCCGGATCGGCGTGAAACGCTAAGGTAGCTTGCTTACTTAGTGCTTGCGCTAAGGGCTAGGGTTGCTTTCTTGGTGACTCTAACCGGAGACTTTTTACCTTTACTCTTTCGGTATCGGTATGCCTTCGATGATTACTGCTTTAATGAATACCCTCTCTTCGGGAAGCGACGAACTCTTCCCTCACCCGAAGGCGAGCGAGTGCATTACGTTGAGTAGGAATTTGGAATAGAATAAGCTGTTGGGAAGAGAATACCACGAATACGCTATTTGGAGAGCGCATGCGGACAATTCGATGAGGACGATTTCTTGCAGAAAGAGAAGAGGGATACCAGACGATTGGGGATTGATTAGATGCGGACGATGATTTGGCTTTTAAAGATGAGAAGGACGATTTGAGAGTGAATCCGCCATTAATTACTCTTGTTACTGTTCTCCAATAGGCTCTTTCGGGTTCAGGTTTGAATGAAGGAATTGAATCCACAGCTATTGAATCAGCTGTTGGCATATCGGCTCTTGTGCACTCATAAGCTCTTGGGAGAGTCCAAAGAACTCCATTATTTTCTTTTCACGAATAAGCTCTTTCCGCTTTTCATTCCTCATGCACTGAGAAGTAGCAAAGCTTTCCTCATGCCAGCGTTCAGTTCCTATTGAGGAAGATCCGCCATTGGTTTCAAAATGAATCTCAGATGTCGATGAATCCCAATCAATCCCTTTCGTACCATCTTATTACTTATTATAGGATGAATCTGATTCACTTCCTGAACCACCAGCGGTTGACTCTGGGCATTTAGTCCTTACTCCTTCCGACAACAGCGCTTACTTCTATGACACCACCACTGGTACCGGTTAGTATAGCAGCTTTTTTGCCCACTTCTCTTACTGATGTGGCATTTGGCCTTCAAAGAGATGATTCAATAGCAGTAGCACCAGTCATGAACCCAAGAGCTCCAACTCGTACTCATAGTTAAGCAGCGGCATGAATATGAGACTAAAGTCCCTCTATGCATCCTACTACTAGCAGCCCCTTCTATGTCCCTTCTTATACAATGCATATGGATCCACGGATGGCATACCCATTCGTACCATCTCAACAGCTCCCTTGCCTTACTTCTTCCTTCCTCTGTTAATTCAATATCTGTCTCGCCTGCGAATCCTTATCCTGATCTGAGATTGCCTGCTATTCCTAACGGAGGCGCTGAATATCGTGACTATTGGGATAACATATGAATATGCCTCTATCAATGTATTCCATTACACCCGGCAAAGTCCTTACTACATGCAGCAGTACGGCGGGCATTAAAACACGAGTTTCGGCGGTCTCTGCTAGAACCCTATTTGAGATAGTTTCAAAGGCCTTCAGGAGCGTAGCCTTTGAATCAATAATTTCTCGCACGCTTGGTTGCAAAGGTCTATAGTCAGAGAGAGGGTGTGGACTTCAATGAAGTATTCTCTCCTTTTGTGAAAGACAGCTCTATTCGCGTCTTGCTTGCCATGGTTGCACTCTTTCGATCGGCGATTGCGAAAAAGAGACGATTTTAATATTGATAAGAGATATCCTTCCTATAATTCTTCCTATGGCTATTTCCGATCCCAAGAATACGCTGTTGTTTCAATGTCATTATCTTCCCTTCCTCCAAGACAAAGGAGTCGCGGGGAAAC